TTTAACAGAGAATTCTTAAGGCAGGTGTTGCTGGAAAAGAATCGTCTTGTGGAAATCGGTGTTAATTGCAAATAGAAAATTCATTGTAGATTAGCACAATTCAACAAAAAATGTCAGACAGCACTGCACAATGGAAATGCCGTACAAGTGTCTTTACACTGAGGGAAAAAAAAAGAACAAGTCCGATTCAAAAAGCGTGACTGCTTGCTCCATTATGTTCATCTCACCGAACGTGCGCAAGTTCACTACCAAATTACCTTGTTGCCTCTATACTGCACTGTCAGTACAACTGCTGCAAGAAAATAAACTGAGGTTCTGAATATCCAGTCACAGCAGATCTTAGTAATGTTTCTGATGAAGGAGACTGACTACCCGTCACAGGAAGCAGCATCTGATGGTCTTCACTCCCAATGGGAAGAGGAAGTGCTAAAGACATCTCAGAGGGTTTCACATCTATGGACTCCGATAAGGGACTTTTCTGACTCTGAATGGATTCTTGTTCATTGAAAGAGTTATCAAGTGCACTAGAATCAGGGGAGTTTCTGATCCTGGGGAAGAAAAAAAAACCCAAAAAGAAATGTTGAAAAGCTCCTGCACAAATTCCCTTTCAAATGACCATCCAAACAAACACATGGTATGTCAAAGACTGCCAGGGGAGCTGGGCTATCAGTGCTTCGATGTGCTGCCAAGCCAGAATGAGCTGTAAATACAATGTAAGCACTGAGAATCACAATCTTTGCTGCTTGTAGCATGACAACTAGAGGAATGGTGCATTCCAACTTCATCTCTACTTAACATGGTACAGAAGATAACAAATCCTTAACATCACAAAGGAGCTTTGGAAAAAAAATGTAATTATGAAGACTTCCTTGAGACTTTCAATCCCAGAAAATCTAAGAAACGCAGCCACATCCAAACAGCCTCTTAATGTGAGATAGCAATGTACAATAACATCACTTATCCATAAACTTCTTCAGAAGAAAGTGTTTATTAAAGCCATTCCAGCCAGGCCCATTGTAGTTTTTATCCAGTCACTTGAGAAAGGATTTTCTGTTCCTAACTGAAATCACTGTGAAAGAATTCCTTGCTGCCTGCCTGTTTGAAGGCATTGGCTATTTGACCTGTCCTCTACCAAAGTGCACCCTGAAGCATGTTACTTCAGCAATGAAGCACTTCTGTCTGCCCTGTCTCTCCATGAGAGCAGACATGCCTTATCAACTCCCCCAGCTCACACCCTGGGGCTCTGCCAGGCTCACCACTGCTCTCATCTCATCCTTGCAATCCACTTCCATGTTGCTCAACAGGTGTTTGTTACAGCAATGCAAATGCTTGAAAATGTGTCTTGAATCTACTTGAAAGCAGGGGCTTTATGCTTTAAAAGGTGTGGGTACCTCTAAAGTGGGTGCTTTTGGCTCTAAGGAGAGCTACTATCAAAAAATCACTCAGAAAATAATTTATGTCCTGATTTTGGGCCTGGATGAGCCAAAAAAAAAAAAAAAAAAAAAAAAAAAGGAATAGTTATTCATCCCTGAAGATGGTTGGTGTCACTTCTTAATGTTTCCTCGCAAGGAACATACCTGTGTGAACTTTTGTTTTGTGCTTCTTAAGTTTTTTTATATCTGTGTAAGAATTCCCACACATTTCACAGATAAATGGTCTTTCACCTGAAAAATAACAAGTGGTTTGGTAGATAGAACAATCAGAAATTGAAAACAAACACAGTGGGAGATGTAGGACAATGGATTTCAAGCTTGTATTTTAAACTACAAGTCTGTTATTCTGACTGTGTGTCTCTTCAAAAGAAAATGGTTTCCAGAATAGATTAAAAAAAGCAAAAAACCCCAAATGTCAGAAGTAAAGCCATGATCATTCATCAGCTACACTGTTATGCAGATCTTAGTCTGAAAAAGGCAATTAAAAAATGCACAAATATTTTCTTTAAATTATGCTAACACAGGGATACATAAATTAAGAAACTGCTACTTTCAAATACAGCACAATATGGTGTATTTTAAAGGCAAAAGGGTAAGTAGGATATTATTTATAGTGCAGGAAGCAGCCTGTCTGGCAACTAACCTGTATGGGACCGAAAGTGTTTATTGAGCTCTCCAGAGGAAATAAAACTTTTTTCACAAATGCCACAGATATATGGCTTCTCTCCTAAAGGAAACACAAGTAGTTTATTAGTTCAGTATATAAGCCAGGATAGCCAAAAGAACAAATCAGAATAAAGCAGAGGGAACGTCTAATGGGAGAAAGAGCTCCCTAAACTGGAATCAAAGGGAAAAAAACATGAGTAAAGAGCTGGATGACAACTCTGGAGGTAACTCCAACCTACAGATTTCCAGGTCATTACCTACATCCAGCCCCTTTGCCAGAAGTGCTCCCTTACCAGGCCTGCTGTGGTGCCACAGGACTCTGTTTCCCCTTACCTGTGTGTTTTCGGGAATGGGTAATGAGAGAACTGGAGACAGCAAAGGCTTTTCCACAGCTGTCACACACATAGGGCTTCTCCCCTGTGTGGCGGCGCACGTGGTAGGTGAGTGTGCTGGCCTGAGCAAACCGCTGGCCACAGCGATCACACACATATGGCTTCTCGCCACTGTGCTTCCTGCGAATGAACGAAGACGAACATCAGTGATCCTGGGCAGGAAGGAAGCAACACTTGGCACCAACTCACTCTCCTCCATTAGCACTTTACCCCCAAATTCTCTGAACTACAAAAAAGTATAGACCCTGCACACATGACATGCACCAATTATTTCTAACACAGAAATGTAATTCCTGCTCCTGCCCAAAATACAAAAAGCCGCATGAAAATAGCAGTGAGCTGCAAGAACTGTTCTGTTCCACTTCCCACCCAGGAACATTCCTCTCTGGTGCTACAAGCAATTTAAAACAAACCCACATCACTGCCATTAGGATACCAGTGAATAGAATGTCAGATTCGTAAATCACAAACTGCTTCCCTCAGGAGCGGGTACACAGATGTAATTATTCTGTTCCGCAACGCGAGGGAAGACCCATGAGAAAAGAAACAGAAATGACCAAATGATGTGAAAGTGTAACTCTTGCTCGCACTGGAGTAAGTTATTCTGTTCAAATAAACACATGGATAAGCATTTGCAAGATCTCAGTTTTGCCCACCTGGCATGAATCTTCAGATTGCTTGAAGTCGCAAACTGCAGGTTGCACACATCACATTTGTATGGTTTCTCTTCTCCGTGGTGCATCCGACTGTGGAACACTAACTGGCACTTCTGAGCAAAGCCTTTGTCGCAGAGTTCACATTTGTATGGCTTCTCCCCTGGTGAAAAATAAAACCCTTGTGCTCTCTGCGTTTGCATAAGAAAGCTTTCCAGCTCAGGTGTCTGTTCTAATACTTTTTAAAAGTAACACCTTGGAACATCCCATAATCAGTCCACTGAAGCGGAATGTGCCAGGAATACAGTGGATAACAGGCTATTTTTTAACACATAACCTTTTGGGAAAAAAAGTAATACTATTTTTTAATAGTGCCATTTCCCCCACATTATTTTCGGACGCTGCTACTGCATTTTCAGCCTTTTTACTAGTTCTGTCTATTCATAATTCTGAATATTCAAGATGAACGAGCAGTGAATCATCTGCCTTTTCTTGCCTGTCAAACAGCAATAGTCCTAATAGTACAGCCTAGTGCTCCCTAATTTCTCATTGGTATCTGCTGTAGAGAGCTGCAGGTACTTCTCTGACTACTCGTGTTCTCTTTGTTCTCAAGAGTGTCACAGAATGGATTGCACAATGCTGCAGAGTCTTAGATGACAGTGTAAAACAGCCTATCCCTGCATTACTGTGGCAGTACACAATCAAATCAAGAACTCAACTATTCTTAAGTATATTATGTACACGAGAACTTCAAAAATAAAAGTATTAGACATCTAGCCTGCCATCTAGCAACTCACACTGTGAAATTCCCTACCTACTCAGGCAAAAATTCGCAGTACAATACTCTCAAAAGCAGAAAATGCATCTGACATTCCTACCATGACACTGTCCCTGGATACTGCTCGCAAGCTCTGTCTCCTATATGAATCTTTGATTAGTTACTGGCTGACAGTATCTGAAATTCCCTCCCTTGGTTACAGAAAGAGCACAGCGTTCTGCATCTGTACCTCAGTACATCCTAACATCACCTCTTTACGACTTCATGGCTTCGTGGAAAGAGCTCCTCTGCTGGCCTCTACTCAGAGCTTTCCAAAGGGGAAACCGAGCAAAAGTAAGTAAGTTTTTATCTGATTCACTGTTACTTCAGAATTCTCAATGCTGGTCACAGAAGGAAGAAAACTCCACAAACCAGGTCCCTCCACTGCTCACTGGGCTAAGCATGGCAGCAATGGCCTTAAGAACAAACTGACCCAGTATCAAGTCTTCCATCTCCACGGAAAAATACAGGCACAGCACTTCTCCCACAAGTCCCAGGCTCCAGCAACTTGTTGTTCATACTCTCTGAAAGTCAGACACGTTGTCTTAACGTTTAAGCGTTCGCAATTCATTTCGCTTTGATGCTTTGTTCAGTAGCTCTTGATACAACACAAACTTCTGGGAATTCTTTCTTGAATGCAGAGACCATAACACCATCATACATTTCAGCTGCATGTTTTACTAAATAAACCCCCAAGTGCTGTAGTACTTCAGCCACCTCCCCTACCCTATGTGAAGGCCCTGCGGGAGAAGTTACCTACTTGTCACAAGATTGCATTTTCCCCCACTTTTGTTACCAAATGTGTATTAGAATTAGAAGTTTTAAAAAAGCAACAAAAACCCTGGTATCTAGTACAATGAGTTTTCCATGTTCTACTGGCACTGGAAAACCGGAGGTTTTGGCACTCCCTCACTCTGCAAAATTAAAGGGCAGCCAGCTCTTCCAAGTCTTTCCAGAAATCAGTCATCTCTGAGGGTCGTTACCCTTCCTGATTTCAACAAGAATGTGTTTCCACTCTCTGAAGAGCTTGCTGTATACGACAGCAGCAGTACTTTATCTTGCATTGCTTTCATTGAGCTGTTTCCAGTTTACATTTTAGCTTTCTTGCATTGTTTTAAAAACAGGCACAATTGTTTGGGTTGTATGGGATGTTCCAGTGCACAACAAACCAAAATAAGGCATATTTATATTACTTCATGAGGATTATATGCAAGGAGAGACAAACTGAAGTAATTTAGTATAGATTCACATGCTGGTATGACTTTGCGTTTAAAGTTAAAGTACAATTTGCTATGTACTTGGCATCACCAACAGAAAAGCTGGAGCTTTCTCACTTACTGAAAGTTCTGCTAAAAGTTTCCAAAAGTTGTTTACAGAGGTGACAGTGCGTTCAGACTTTGTAAAAGAACCGTACAAGCAGAGTTAAATTGAACTACTGTATTGAGTCTAACAAAACAGTTCAAGCTGACCTTGGTCATGAGACAACAAAAAGTGTCTTAAGGAGAAATAATAATTATCGAAGAGTAAAGAACGGTTTAATTCAAAGGCTGTTTAACCTCTGATAGTTCTGACAAACATTAATAGAACCCTACCTAATTCTGTTTGTAGATTGCCTCAACAAGAGGTACTTTCAGAATGTGGCTGGATATTGTATCTAAGGATATTCATCAGCAGAGAGAATGGAAGAAGCATATATTTCAATAATTTTTATATAATAATTCAATGGTAAATTGAAGTCATACAATTAAATCTTTGTAAATACTGAGAGTATAGACTAAAGATGGTTTAAGCATATGAATAAATGACCATGCTTTCCTTTGCCCAGGTCCCTGTATTCAGCTTAACACACCCAAGGGGGGGAAAGTAATTTTATGCAAAAGAAGTTCGTAAACGAACCCCAGGCAATGCTAAACGAACCCCAGGCAATGCTAAACTTCTGATGTGGGAGCCAGAGAGAACAGCTCTGGGTCTTGGTCCCATGTTCGGTGACTTTGACCTGCTCGGTGGGTAAGATCCGGTCCCTCTTCAAGCAAGAATTCTATGTTGTGTGGCCTTTGCATAGAGAGCTGGAAGGTGACATTCACCTTATGCATTTATAGCTTTCAGGTTGCAGAGGAGTGTTTGTAACTTGGGCATAATAGTATCTTGAAATTAATCTTTATTAATTAATATTTTAATGTGTGTATATTCATGTCTAGCCGCAGTTATTGGGACAGTCTTACAAACCCTCAAATCCATACAAAAACCCCCAGTTGTCAGAATGTTTGGCGTCATGTGTAGTTCCCAGTTGTTTCAGACATAAAAATGATAGTGGTTCAAGAGGAGAAGAGCCTTTTTTCTAACTCACTTTGGTCAATCGAATGTTGTGTTTCAGAGTTCAACAGGATAAGCTGCTCCCCTGTGCTTGGTGGAGTCTGTGGTTTCTACACCTTATCTGTGCGCTGAAGGGCTGTTGGATGTGCTTTTGCTAATCTCTTTTCCAGCGGTAGATGGCAGTAGTCATTCATTTGTAAAACGGGAGAGTAGAACTCGGTGCATATTACAGGATGTGATGTGCAAGTAAAATCATTCCTGGGTAGGAATGTAATTGAAACTATTTGTAAAAACTTCTCCCTTTTTTGAGTACAGGTAAACTGCCATTGAATAGAAAGCTTTGTGATTTAAATAAATTTATATATATTTTTAGAAGCCAGTTTAAAGCAAAAATTTTGAAAGATGCTATTTAAGCTTCCCAGGAAAGTACTATAATGAATTGTCATTCCTATGTGAAAGGGCTTTTCGAAATGCATTTTTTTCAAGTGATTAAGGAATGGTGGTTAACACTAGCTTTTCTTATTCCTTTTCAAGTTTGCTTAAAATGGTAGCAATTTCAGCTTATGTTTGGTTGAGAAACGAATTAAAGCATCTTTACACAAATGAAAGAGTTTTATTTCCTACCTATAAGCTTTAGGATTCACCTTGACCGCTTGCAAATAGTGTCAGAGATCAGCATTTGCATCTTCGATTTCAATTTTGCCTCTAAAAATGCATTGTGTAATTTGAAACCAGATGTGCAAATGTCACCCATTCTAGTATTCAGCAGTGTGTTGTAGGATAAATTGTTTTCTACGTTTCTCATTTATTAAAGAAATGATTGTTTGCTTTTGTGGGATATATATTTTGCTTCCCAAAAGTGAACTTGGGAGTTATGTGTGAGGAAGGTAGTCATCTGTAACAAAATTATAACCAAGTCACAAGACTTTTGGGAATTTTACAGCTGCAAACCAAAGTTCTCATGCATTATCATGGCATTCTGTTTTGCAGTGATAACAAGTTTAAAGGCTAGAATTTCTCTGTTTTTATTGAAAAGATAATCAGACTTTTGTACATTAATGATGGAATATTGGCAGCTGTGATAATTTAGTAGAATTTTTTTTAGTGATGCAATTAGTATTTTAATAAGGTTGTTTCTTGTTACTGTATTGGTATTATCTGAATTGTACAGTTGGACACTTCACTGTGCTCTATGGGGGACAAAATAAGGAAGAAAGGATAGAAACAGACTAAAACAAAGTGACAAAGGGGATTTGGTCCGAAGACTGCTGCTGACTCCAGATGTGCTATTCTGAGCCTTTTGGGTTCTTCATCTGTGAAATGGCAATAACGATACTGACCTCCTGTTAATGTTGTGGATAAGCAGTGCTAAGCCATATTATCCCCTGCTCCTGTTGCCCTGGGCAGTAGACCCATGGAGCTGTATTGTTTTCGGAGAGGCCAGGTTCTTCACACATAAAACTGTCTTCTAGGTTGCAACTTTCAGGATGGGGAAAATTTACCAAGTCCACATGCTTAAACCTTTTCTATCCTGTTCAGCCTCTGAGCCTCCTAAAGAGCAAAATTCCATCACTTCTTTCATCACTTTAGTATTCCTTTAAACAACTGTATCATGGGATCTATTGTACTTAGCTATAGTATGCCTACCATATAGTCCATGTTTTTCATCACAGGAAGCAGCTTGAACTGCTTATAACACATGGAGTACACATTTGTCTTGTTTTAGAACAGCTATATATCGTTCAGCTGGCTTTACAGCCTCTTCTGTGTCTAAAGATATGTATGTTTAAGTATAATCCTGAAGTTGTAATCTTCTGCATCTTTAGCCCACACTCTAGTTAACATTTCATACTATGCTCCTCCAGGCAGCTTTGAACAACCTTAGTTTGACAATTAAGGGGGTGAGCTGGCAAAACTTCTAATTTCTCTCCCTTTCCTTTTGCTCTTATCTCGTATTTTCTAAGATACACATCTTTATCTACACATTTCCAAGAAGGTGTTCAGTTAATAACTCAGACAAGTCAGAGCCGATAGGATCTTTTCGTGTATTAATTTAACTCTTCCTTTCAAACAGAGTGACAGTAAATCACTGTTTTCATGTTTTCTCTATTTATTCTGGCTGGATTTTTTTACTGAAGTTGCATGCTGTAGCCCTTTGATTCTGTTCCCAAGAGATTATTGGGGGTTACAGTAGTGGGGTTCTCACTGATGTGTTCAATAGCACTTCTGTATTAATGTTGTTTTTAGATTGGTTTTATTTATAGCAAAAAGTAAACCCACAGACTTGGTCCTACCAGATACAGAAATATTAGGTGTTTTTTTACTCAGCTTCTCATGTGTGTCTCTGTTTTTTTTTTTTCTGACAACGAGAAAGATGCAACACAGCTGATGAGTACAACAAAATTAATTTTTATTGGAGGCAATCACAAGACTTGTTCAAAGGCAGAGGTTCATTTGTCTGTGCTAGTCATTTAGCAGTTACAGCGAGCAGTGTTTTTTTATTAGACATGAGTGACAATATGTTTAGTTTCCATCTGTGTTGGTCTTGCAGCAGGTTTAAACTTGTGATAACAGCTAAGTTGAATTGGTATTATAAAAATTCCTCTTGACTCTTGTTGACAGTTTAAATGCATCTGGTCCTGAGAAGAATCTACATCACTGTCAATGCAAGCTGGAAGATAGAGTAAACCACAGTCACTCTAAGCTAGGACTGGAGATGGGGAGACCCATCTCCACAGAACAGCAGGTTGTTTAGTGAGCATGAGGTGAATGAATTTTACTGAGAAAATAGGTAACCAACTAGCTTAACCGTGAAGTTCTGTACTGAAAAAAAGTCTTTACAATCTGTCTCAGGGAGTCTTTTCTGTTTTGTTTATTAGAGGTAAAGATGATTTTTGTTTTTAATACAAAATAGTGTGATGAAATATTTTACAAATTTGTATGGCTTATAAATCAGTGTTCTAATTGCATTCAGAGAGCAGCAACTGTGAATCTGAAAATATCCAAATGGATGGGAAATCCTGGAAAATGACAAGTGGACTTTTGCTCCTGATTTTCCTTGTGAAAGCATAAGAACCTTTTTCTGTGAGCAATTTGCCTGAACTAAAGGTATAGAATATACATGTAATGTTATCTAGTACAGAAATTGTTATGTAGTACAGAAAAAAATTACCCATTAATCAACTTTTCAGAATCATCCATTTTTCTACCAAGTTGATTTATCATTCCCCAATCAAAGAATTTTCCATACTGATTTTT